TGACGAAATGGACCGCGCCGACGCATCCTGAACGTCAACTTTAGCTTGGAAGGACACCCGTATTGCTAGGGTTACGCGCACAAACAAATGACACGTAAATCGATGCATTTTTTAGCGGGCCCAGGCTCAACCCAGGTTCAACTCGGGTTCGATTCGGGCTTGACTCGGGCTGAACAAGGGTTAGACGATTTTGAATTTTAAATTTTTGAATTTCAAATTCGTCATTTAATTTTATCTAATTGAGAGTTAAAATTTTTCATTTGAACCCAGCTACCTGAATGGAAGTCTTTTAATTCGCCGCCCAACGCAAACTTAACGGTTATTTTGGAATTCGAGGGATAGAAATCCCGCTCGGGCTCCTCCCTGGAGATTCGGCTCTCTCGCTCGCCTTCTCCCCCTCTCTGCCTCACGCACCGAAGACACTCGCCTCCCCGTCTTCTCGAGCTCGCTCGCCTCCTCCACCTATCGAAGTTCCAGAAACCCTCGCTCGAACTCCTGCTCGCACCGCATTCGGCCTCACCTTTTCTCTCGATCCCCAGCCGCTCGGCTCATCTACACTTCCGCGACCGAGACACGCTCGTCCCGCCTCCAGATTTCCTGCTCGCGTGCGGTCGACCCCCTCTTCCCCTGCACTGAAAATCTCGCTTCCCCTCTTCCTCCTCACGCTCGATCTCGCACGCTACTTTCTCTACGCGATGAAACCGCTCCACACTTCCTCTCGCTCGACTTCTCTCCTCGGCACCGAAATAGTCGCTTGCTTCAATTCTCCCGCTCGACGCCATCTCTCTCGCCTCCTCTCTTCCTCTCGACAGACCCTCGCGTCTACCTTCCAGTCTTGCCTTTCCTCTCTGCCTCGAGCCCGCTGCACCGAATCCCCACTCGAGCCCATCTCGCTTGCCTACTCCTCTCTCAACCGAAACCCCCACTTGCTTTGCCTCCTCGCTCGCCTCCCCTCTGCACCGAAGCCTTTCTCTCGCCCGGCTTCACTTTTCCTGCTCGGCTTCGCTTCTCTCGTCGGCTCTCCTACCCGCGCCCGAAATTCTCGTCGCCTTTCCTGTTCGACTTCACCTCTCGATGGAAACCCAACGGCACACTTGCTATTAGAATTAGCTGGCCACAGGATCACTGCGTGCAAGACCTTCGAAAGTCCCATATTTCACCTGTTTAGTGCTCGCTGACTCTACAACGCTCGGTTGTCCCTCTTCATCACATGAGATTGGTATCTCTTCTAATTCTTCTCGGTTGCAGGTATATTCTTCCAGCTATTGCATTTTATGACTATCAAATTATTTACATAAATTTGAAATGGAACCCTCTCTACATGAATACATTCTTACTGATTTTGGAGAAATATAAACAATATTTCGATTATATGTTATTGCTGATTTTAAACGCTCATTTGCTGGTTTTATGTTTCAAGCACCTAAATGCAAATATTTTGATGTTCCAATGACCATTTACTTGCTGATTTTAAATGCCCATTTGCTGGTTTTATGTTTCAAGCACTTGAATGCAAACATTGTGAGGTCCCAATGACCATTTATTTATTGATCTTAAATACTTATTTGTTGATTTTGTGCTTCGAGCACTCGAAATGGAATACTGCGAGGCTCGAGATGACCGTTATTCCAGGGCTTGAATACTTCTTTGCGGGACTATGTTCTTTTATTTCCGAATGCCTTCCTTGTGGGTTGTTTTACCCGTTGTTTGGTGGGTTTAAACATTGTGATTTTTAGGGCTTTGCCTACTGATTCACGTACTATTTTAGAGCCAATCTGTTACCTGATTTAGGAGAGTTTACACACTATCTTGGACTGGATTTCCTAGCTGATTTTGGGACATTTGAAATTGATGCTTTGAGCTTACATAAGAGCTGTTTCGGAATTTTAAAATTACTGTTTTAAGGCTGATTTTGAGAGCCTTGTCTACTATTTTGGAGGCATTAAACCCAACATTTACGGGGTTGTTTTAATCAATGTTTTAAGGCATTTTGGTGGGCTAATTTGGAGGCAATCTATACACTATTTTGGCGAGATTTATGTAGCCTTTAAGTGTTGATTTACATGCGGTTTAGAATTGGTTTTACGGACCCTTTTTTTTTTGCCCACTGTTTTGGGTTTCAATCGATTGTTGTTTAAACGCTTTTAGGTCGATTTACTCATCGTTTTCCCTCTTGACTTTACTAGTTTTGGAAGTGGGACTTGTCTTATCCTTCTTTTTTTTTATTCGTTTTTAAATGGTTAAGTCATAAAGATGGGGATTGATGATTTAATTAATTGGAAGATATAGAAAGCCTTAAATCACTTTAAGCAAAAGTTAAAGTGTAGGTTTCCTAGAACTTTAGAAGCACAGCCTAGGTGAGAGCCTATCCACCTAGTCCTCGGTTTAGGCTTCCTAAACTTTAGAAGAGGCTTCCTACACTTTAGAAGCACACCCTAGGTGAGAGCCTATTAAACTTCCTAGTTTTTAGGAACACAACCTAGGTGAGAGTCCATCCACCTGATCCTCAGCATAGACTTCCTAGATTTTAGGAGCACACCCTAGGTGAGAGTCCATCCACCTAATTCTCAGCATAGATTTCCTAGTCTTTAGGAGCACACCTTAGGTGAGAGCCCATCTACCTAATCTCTGCAGTGTAACCTCCCAAGGTTTCAGGAACATACCTTAGGTAAGAGTCTATTCACCCAATCCTCGAATGCACAATGAAACTTGACACTTGACCCTGATTCACAAATTGATCAAGACACTAGACACCAGGATGCACCGAGATGTAGTTCATGCTTCCTTAATTAAATCAACAGTGAAATTCCCGCAATAACTTAACCAACAATGAAACCCAGTACATCGGGATTTGAGTTTGAATATTACACTCAAATCTTTCTGGCAATTGGGGAAATTTGTTAACGCCACATATGGATCATCGGACTAGGATGAGTCTACGGTCTAGGTGGCGAGGGCGATGACGACATTGCTTATGTGTGCTTAAACGAGGGATACGAAGTAAGATTATTAGAATAATATCTCCTACCTCAAGGATCTTTAATAAGAAAGAGAGAAATGACCTATGATACTATTCGTCGACTCTTGGTAGGATTGTTGCCTCCGACTCTCTTAGGTTGTCAGTAGTTCTTGCACGATTAGAGTGACTAACCTGTGGACTACACGGCTTTACAAAAATATTTACGAAAATAAAACAAAATTTCTTTTGCATGTTAAAAAAAACTCTGCATAAAAAAGACTCAAACAACAGCTTTTGCATGAAAAATCAAATAATTTTTCTATGAAAATTTATAAAAGTTCATGGTTAGTCATTTGGATTGAGGTTAAGAACTGCCTCCTGTAGATTGTCGAGTTGACAACTCTTACTCAAGGTCGGGAAGCACACAGCCCAGCTCTGAGCCTCCACTTTTACCAATGTTTTATACTCAGTCTTGATCTTTCATATGTGGCTAAGAGTTTCTTTTGCCGTGATTTTTTTTACAACTCATTTTTCTGACTTAGGTGCTGAGTTTTCTCGCCTTGTTTAATTTTCTTGCAAGTTTATTTAAATTTTCTGCAAATCATACTATGCTCGCAACATTAATAATGCAACAGTAGCAGATACCCAGGTACACTTTTACAGTTTATCTACAACATTTTCATTTACTGCATTTTACGTTTTAAGTACATTTTATTTACCTGTGATTTGCTTACTCTGCATGCAAAACTAGAACTGAAATCAAAACTGAAACAAAACAAAACGAAAACATTGACACCAAAACTGTGAAGCACAAATCATCAATCTCAAACACTTAAACCTGAAGCCGTCGTGAGGATAGGAGCTTGGAGCCAACTTTGTGGGAAGCACGACGAGGGATTCAGACCGAGCAGCAAGAAGATCTTCTTCGACATTATCTCTTCCTAGTATAATAAAGCCCATAGGATTTCGAGGTAGCTCGCCTAGCGCAACGCAAATCCTCACACTCCCCTTTTTAGGCTCCTGTATAACCATGTTGTGCGGCGTAAGTCCTAACCCGCCTTAGGTTCCAAGGTTGTCGTATGACACGCGTAAACCCTCTTATCTCTGTGGCAGATGTTATGCATATGTAAGTCTCAAATAATAAAATTGGCAGGATTGAACAATCGAATAACACCATCTCTAAAAATGCAGTACACAGTAGGATAGTTTGGGAAGTCACTGAGAGTTCTCCTCAGGATCTGTGACTTTTCTTTTCTTTGGACTTCTGATATAACTGTTTCTATTTGAGCCATTCCCACTTGATTTTCCTCGTTCTACCGTGAAAACCTAAACTTTGGAATCTTGAAGACTAATACCTCTGATCACTAGCGAGAGTTTTCTCAATTGACCCCAGTCATTTGAGATGTAATTAACTATAGGGGCTTGCTTCTATAGGGAACTTGGAACCCAGGTAAAATAAACTCTATTTAATCTTTGTATTAGATAGGGGAACTTGTCGGTCATATATAAAAGGTTCGCAGACTAAACGGATGTCACAAATCTCTTAGTTTGCAGGATTGGGTCTATTGCCGAGGTCTACACTTATCTTTCGGGAAGATGTAGTGTTCGCGGTATCAGACACGATTATGCAAACTATTGGACGAATGAGATCCATTTGGTCTCATTTTTCAAAAATTAAAACATATTACTTTTAAAACTCAAACTAAATATCTCTTATATTTAAATTAAATCTCAAAAATTATTTTCATATTCATATTTTCAAATAATCAATCAATCGAAAAGTTGACCGACAGTGCTCTTTCTCCCTTAGTCAGTAATATTGGAGTGATATTTCTATTCTTACTTCCAATTTTATATGCATTTTAATTTATCCTTCCACTTTGGATTATTTGATCCCTTGGTTGTGTGTGTCAGTTTGTGTCTCTGTTTTTATTATTAGGGTTATTTCACATTTTCATGGCTTCTGCTCACTACTACTCCTGCTTTTCTGACTATGAATTGTTGCCTGATTGCTGTCTAACATTGCTTATTCACCAAGTAGGACAATGTCTGGACAAGTTCCTATATCTGAATCATCCGACTCATTCGAGTACATGTTATTTGAGGGTGATCCAGATCATCTAAAGCCTGTTATTTTAAAGCCGAATAAGATTAGTGCTTGGATTAATCCAGATATGCTAAAGCTTGGGCACAGGATAGGACGGGGTCCTTTTGGTGATGTTTGGCTTGCAACCCATCATCACTCCTTTGAAGATTATGATCGATGCCATGAAGTTGCTGTGAAAATGTTGTATCCTGTTAAAGATGATTATATTCAAGTATTGATAAGCAAGTTTGAGAATATATTCTCCAAATGTCAAGGACTAAAAAATGTTTGCCTTCTCCATGGTATTTCAATTCTGAATGGAAGGGTAAACTGGTTTATTTATTGGTGGATTTTTGTTATGATTTTTATCTGCACAGCATATTCTTTTGATAAGGGAACTTGATAAAGAGCAAAGAAAACTCTTGAATGTGGCTTGCCTTTTATTTTTAATCAGGTTTGCATTGTTATGAAGTTCTGTGAAGGATCTATTGGTGATAAGATAGCTCTTGCTAAAGATGGAAAGCTTTCACTTCCTGATGTTCTGAGGTGTTTATTCTAACAATTTCTTCATCAATAATTTCCATTGTCATTTTATGCAGTCTCCCCATCCTATATCTGTTAAGGGTGGATTTCAAACAATGGTTATGTAATTTATTCTGAATCTTCATGCTTTTAGTTTTACTCATCCTATTTCTATGACAGGTATGGCATTGAGCTTGCTGAGGGCATATCTCAGCTCCACTCTAAAGAAATATTGGTGCTTAATCTTAAACCTTGTAACTTTCTTCTTGATGGAGATGACCATGCAGTCCTAGGGGAATTTGGAATTCCATTCTTACTTATTGGATTCTCGTTATCAAGTTCAGATCTTGTACAGAGGCCCGGAATGTCACACTACATGGCTCCTGAACAATGGCAACCAAGCATCAGGGGTCCAATTTCCTTTGAGACAGATTCATGGGGTTTTGGGTGTAGCATTGTGGAAATGTTGACCGGTTATCAGCCTTGGCACGGCAAGTCTGCTGATGAAATATATAACTTGGCTGTTAAAAAGCAGGTGAAGCCAAATATTCCAACCGGATTGCCTCCTGAGATGGAAAATGTTCTTCATGGATGCTTTGAGTATGACTTTCGAAATCGTCCTCTAATGACTGATGTACTGGATGTCTTTAAAAGGTAACTGTTACAGTATTTTTTTTCCCCCCAAAAAGTAGAGCATTTTTATGAAGCCATTGATGTAAAAGTTTTATTCCCTGCTTTTAGTTCTATGATTATATATTTATTATGTTTGATTTGCTGTTTATCAAAGGCTGAGCTTGTAAAGCGAAAGTGTTGCTAATAAATGAAATAGATTTCTAATTTATGCCTGTGTCATTATCTTTACCATCATTAACCTTATCCCATTGAATGTTGCTTGTTAAACTGTATATTCACGTGTTTTTTATCTTTTTTTTTGCGTGAATTCTAGTTAATATACTATTAGTTTACTCTTATTTCTTAATTCCTTTTATGTAAATTATGCTTTATCTTTTTATCAGTTCATCTTTCACTGTTCATCGTATGCACCTAAACAACCCAGTTTGCAATTGCTGCTACTCCTTTGGCAATTTCTATTTTTGATATTTAGTACTTTATCTGTCTAATATTAATCATACAATCTTTTTGACTTAATTCATTTCATTTGATCGTCGCCCAACTCGTTGGCTATACGACTGCTGATAAATGTTTGTCACTTCTAACATATCGATCATCATTGAATAGTTGTATATGTTATAGAAAATTAAACTTGAGTAAACACTACTGATTTTACTATTTTTATTGAATTTATATATATATTCATTAAATCAATTGTTTTCAGGTATATTTACAATTATATATGCATATGAAAAATGATCTTTAACAAATAAAATGATTAAGAGAATGTTACAAGTGTTGTGATAGGTAGACTATTGTTTAGATGATTTGCATAGAGGTAAAGATTACAAAAAATGATAAAATTTTTTACTCTTGATATTGATACTCGAACGAACTTTTTGATATTAGGGGGTGTTTACCAATATTTATCAACAGTTGTATAACCGATGGGTTGGGTGATGACCCAATAAAATGAATTAAATCAAAGACTATGCAAGTATAAATGATATTTCTAAAACAACAACTAATGAGTATAAATCAATTCCAAAAATTTATATGATTGTGCAAATGATTAAATGAAATGTGTCTGTTATACTTTGTTATTGTTTACTAATTTTATTACTTGTTTTACATATTTCAAACATTTTAAGCATGATTATTTTGTATTGCTGTCCCTCATACTATTCATGATTGAGCATTTACATTTTCTTTTCATCTATAAAATTTAATTTTAGCACTGATTATTTCACTAAGCTTGTAGCTTATTACAGTTTGTTGTTGTCTTTCAGGGAGGGGTAAGAAGCATCTAGGCGATTAGTCAGATGTGACTTTGTATAGCATTTGGGTTGTAAATTTTTTTGGTTTTTGAGTATGTCATGAAGAATTTTGGAGTATGTTCTTTTATATGTTTAATGTTTGCAGTTCTATATGTGATTTGCGAAAATTTTATGCGTACTTTCCTGTGTTAGAATGTGAATAAATATTGAATGGAATTGAATTGTTAATATTTGTGAGGATTGAGTGGGACCAATTCGTTACCCTCTAAATTTGATTTGTGCAAGTTAGGATGAATGTTGATGGATAATTGTGTCTGACTAATTCGTCTAACTTTGTTGCACCACTTGTTGATCATGAGGGGTAAGCTGGGGTGTGACAGAAAGTGATAGTACAATAAAGGTTGGATGATAATAATAATGTAAGCATGTTTGGATTTAGATGTCATAGGAATGTGATTAAAATATGAATTGATCCATGCAGAACTATAGGCTGATTGGATTTAGGGTGGGTAACACCTGACTTGAGGAATAATTCAGGTATTGAGATAATTATTATATAATAAATTGCATTAGCTGCAAAATTGTGCAATTATAGGTAAATATGCCTGAAGAAATATAAAAAAGAATTGAGTGCTGGCCTTCTAAGCTAATTGCCGAACACAAAATGCAAGCTAAAAATAATTCTAACATAAGTGATATTCAGAACAGGGTAAATGAGACAACTAAAACTATTGAGTTATAGGGTATTGTTAAGCTGATTTCTCAAGTAGTTGATAAAATGACTGCTATTGAAGGATCTACTTTCATTGTGTCCAGATCTGAATATGGTACAAAAATTGATCAGCATTTGAGGATCTTTCTGAAATTCAAGCCACCTACATTTAAGGGTGCTAGTGACCCTACAACTGCTAAAGATTAGTTATTAAAGATTGGGAAAATTCTTGATAACATGATATATTATAGAAAATAGGAGTGGTTCTAGTCACATTCATGTTACAATGTGAGGCAGAGAAGTGGTGGTAGGTGCAACACAGGGAAATTTGGATTGACACCCCTCACACAGATTCAGTGTGATGATTTTATAAAAGTTTTCAATGATTGGTTTATTCCATCTTGAGCTAGATTAACACTACAGGATAATTCCTTCAATTTGACTGGGGGTCCAAGATAGTATAAAACAAAATTTACTTCTCTCTATAGATATGCCCCTTATTATGTCAGCATTTATGCGGCCTCTGAGATTAGTTGAGATTAGCAATGGTTCTTTTTGAAATAAAAAATTTCTGTGTTAGTTGAAAGAGCTATAAGGATTGAAAATGAGTTGAACCTTCTCAGTCAAAAGTGGTAATCACAAGCATGCAAACGAAAAGATTTTGGGAAGGCAGAGGACTTCCAAAGCAAGTAATTTAAGTTGGAAGGTAAGTAGAAGCAAATCCAGTTAGAAAAGCCAATTTGTGAGAAATGTGATGCATCAGTTACAACAATTCCACGAGTATGGGAATAGCGAAAAAAAATGTCTTTTTTTATTTTATTTATGTTATTTTCAGTGATTTCCCTTTTTTGATTCTTTCCTTTATAGTTATTTCCTATTTTCTTAGTTTCTAATTAGATATTTTCTATGAGGGGATTTTTATATATATTGTATTAGGGTTTTGGATTTGTAGTTTTTTTATTTGATGAATTGAGAAGTGTTTTCTCTGAATTTTGCTCTCCGGGGTGATATATCATTTTCTTTTGCATGTGGTGTATTTGTATCTTGCTTAGGAACAGGCGGTAGAACCCCCTTGCCGCCCGTACATAACAGTATCACTGTCCGGTCTGCTGTTTTCAGCTGGGCAGCCATCCAACTGGTTGTTACCTGTTATTTCCTAGAGGAAATCAGTCTTCCTGCCTCCGGCTCGTGGGACAGCCGCTGATCGACGCCAAACTGCTGTCTAACAGCCACCTTATCCCAGTAATCCACTCCAAATGACGTCAAACTCACATATTACCTTTTCCTTACCATTCCACAGTCACCTCCTCTATGAACCTGCTTCCCGAACACTGTTTAGGAGCCATAAAATGGTATCAGCTATATTCCTTATATTAATTCAATGGAAGAAACTAATTGAAGTTGTATAAAGTTGTGAAATTTTTCGGAAGGAAACAATAAATTCACCATCTTATAGATTTTCATCCATAGCCATAAGATCTAAATTTTGCATTTTGGGATGAAACAAATCCTATTTTCATGACATGGTTATAGAACACCATGATACTTAAAATTAGTGGACCATAAACATTCTTAACAATCCAAAAAACCCTTTCTTTTTTCACAAATTATTTGAGAATAGATGCATCTTTGCTACTTTAAATCATAAAATCTTGATAATAATCTAATTCAAGCTAATAATCATGCATTATATTAAGATATCAAAGTATAGAAAATTTACTTTGATTGCTTGTTGAGATCTTGATTTTGATTTTATAGATGAAAACAACATCACTCACTGTTGAGTATAATTGTTTGACAACATTCCGACTAAGTTCGTATTCAAATTATATGCATAGAAAATTTAACACCTCTCAAAAACTTTTCTTGCTGATACGAGCTAAAGAAGGAAGAAGGATGGTGATGCTAGATTATATTATATCTAAATTATCGGCTATGATATCTGCTTATGCTAAAAAAAAAAAAACTATACTATCACTAATTCTTCCACAATAGAACGACAAAAAAGAATAAAAAATTTTTCTTAAAGGCAATCTATGATTCAATTAATACAACAACAACAATAAAGTCTTAATCTCACTACGTGGGGTCGGCTACATGAATCCTTTTTCACCATTGTGTTCTATTTAGTGTCAATTAATGTAAGAAAAAATGATGCATAAAAAAAATAAGAAACTCTATGAGAAGCCCCAAAATTATGATGAAAATAAAGGACAAACTTGCCTTGTGGAATTTGAAGGACTTGATTCAGAAGAAATTAACACAATAAAAAATTTCAACTTCCTAAGAAAACTCTTGTGTCATGCTTTCTTACTTAAAATGCTATGAATTGTATTTCTTGTGTTTTTAGTGCCTCAAATAACTCTTCACAAATTTGAATTCTAGATGCATGAGCCACAAACTACATGATAAATTTTACCAATATTTTTCAAATCTACAAACTCTATCCCAGTAATAGAAAAGTTAACATAGTCGATGGTTCCCTAACGACGTTACAGATTAAATGATTTTTTTTTTTTGCATTTATCCTCAATAATGTTATATTTATCCCTCATCTTATCGTAAGACTTGTATAAAAATGTAAAAGTGCTAAACAACATAACTGCAAGGTTGTTTCAATTCCTCACTGTGGGGGAATGTGATTGTGAAAATTAGAGAAAAAGATGGGTATACTTTCTCGAAGGCAATTTTGTTTTCATATTTCTTCATTTCCACTCAATGCATAAACCATTTGGAATACCATTGTAGGCATAGGTATCCCTCTTTCAAAATCTTGTGATATAAATTTCCTTCTTATTTTATAAATGTTAACATTGAATAATTTTATTGTGAGGCTTGAAAAAATTACAAAACATCGTCATGTTTTTTCCTGAATGATTTTAGATCCTTAACTCTTTTCATGTTAATTCACTATGATATTTGAGAACCTTAAAAAATCTCTAGCACATATGGAGCTATAGGATTTTTCACATTTATTAATGATTATACTTGAATGACATGGTTATACCTTATCAAATAAAAATTTGATATCATTCCTGTTCTCCTTTAATTACTAAGTAAAAGAATTAATTTAATGTCAACATCAAGTTGTTTCACATAAATAATATTCGCGATTATTTTTATCATATTTCAATTCCCTTTTTCAATAAAAAATTATCATTCTTCAATTTTCTTCTTGACGTCCCATAACAAAATTGTGGCAAAAAAGATTAATTGACATTATTTGAAACTCACTCTTTTTGAGAATTAAACTCCAAAAAGATATTCGGGAGAAGCTGCTCTGATTGCACATAATCAATGGACTAACTTCAAGAGTAATGGATTTTAGAGATCTCCTGAATTACTCGTGGAATTATTTTTTGCGAACAACTTCTCAAAAATCCTCTCTAAAATGAAAATGACTTCAAAAATATTTGGTTGCATTGTTTATGTCCACATCTCTAAATAATATTAGGATAAACTTAATCCTAGAGCACTCAAATGTGTATTTGTAGGATTTTTCTACACAAAAAGGGTCTTAGCGTTTTTATCTAACCATCAAAAGATTTTTTAACTTTAAAAGTTGGCAAACCTTTGATGAAAAGCAATATTTTTTCGATCAAGCTCATTTTCAGGAGAACAACCAAAAGTTTGATGAAATCACTCTTCTAACTTGACATTCAAATCACACTAACTCCAATAATTGTACCCTTTTCGGTCAAATAAGCTCAGTGGAAATCTTCAGTAATCTCAAGGCTCAAAATTGTCACAGATAATAATGATCAACCTTTTACACACATTCACCAATATATCCCATTTCTTAATGCACAGCTCATCCTTTCTTCTTTTTTTTTTGTCTACACATAAAATCATCTTTGCAAATATCAGCTTCAACTCCATTAAAATATCTCAAATCCTAGTTGATATATTAGAAAGTAAGAATTATAAGGATGTCATTAAAGAAGAGATGAATGTCTTGAAAAAAAAAAAAAAACTTATACTTGGGATATCATTGAGCTGCCAAATGGACAAAATTGTGTGATGAAAATAAATCTTTTTTTTTAATATAGAGCAGATGAAAGCTTGAGGAGTGCAAAGCGAGATTACTTTGTTGAATGTTTTTCTCAATCCTATAAAAGCAGTTATCAGTAAACATGTACTTCTATTGTAAAAATGTATGTAATTCTTTTTTTTACTTAAATTGTTACTAACCTTGGATGATTCATACAACATTATGATGTGAAGACTTTTTTCTTATGTTGGGCCGTTGAAAAAAAAGTATATATGGATCTTCCACTAGAATTCAATGGCTTTCTTAAAAATAAGATGTGCAAATTCAGAAAGACATTTCATTATTTTAAACAATCTCTGAGTTTGACAGATTTATAGTGGCTATATATGGACTGGGTACAAGTAAAGTTAAGGAGATCATATCCTTTTCAGAGAATATTTCATTCATGAAAAAATTATAATTCTCATTTTTTATGTTGATGATATAATTGTTATAAGAAATGATAATGAAAGAATGAATCAGTCAAAAAGAAATTTACTTAAGAATTTGAAATGATGGAATTGGGCAAATTTAAATACTTCCAGAGTATTGAAGTTGCTTGATTAGAGCAAGATATTTTATCTCTCAACGCAAATATATCATAAACATGTTAAGAGAAACAAAGAGACTTGATTGTAACTTATTTGAAACACTAACTACTTGGGTTAAAAAGAGCACAAAGGATGAAGGAACATAAGCGGACATAGGTCAATATGAAAGATTAGTTGGAAAAAAACTTTATTATATACAAGCCCTGACTGTTTTTTTAGTAAGCCTTATAAGTTAGTTTATGCACAAATCATAAGAATTTTACATTCAAGCTGCTTATAGAATCCTTAGGCACCTTAAATTAGGCTCAAGAAAAAAAAATTTCTACAAAAAAACATGATGCTCTACAACTTAAAGGCATCCCAACATTGTCAGGCTGCATGACATTTCGGCCTTTACATAGGAACACCAACTGGAATTCCAGAAATTTCAGGAGGGATTGACGACAAGGTAGCGAACAGAAAGAACCACAAACGAATGCTGGGATGAATCTGTTCTCAAATTTTGGGCAAGAAATGGGGAAAATCTTTGCTGGAATTCTCTATTTTCTATGGCATCAGCAAACAAAAACAGAAAACTCCTGGATAGAATTTCTTCAATAACAGTAGCAAGAACAGATAATTCCAACGACAGCAAACAAAAAATATAAAAGAAGAACAGATAGCAAGAAGGTTGTTTTTGTGGAAATAAAGCACGAATTTGAATCATGAACCTTAATCTTTGATACCAAATGATACCGGTTAGAGCATGGGGACAGAAATCAGCAAGAAAATAGAGAGAAAACGTACAAAATATAAATAAAAAACAAGAAACTAAAAATCAAGGGAAGTAGGAAAGAAAATACAAAGGAGATGCACTAATCAAATAAAAGATGCAAGAGACCTCAGATATCATCATTAATAACAAAGGGATACAGACACCACCCGGTGTCATAGATACAAACACATTCCCATCAAGAAACCTACTAAGCTAAAGCTCTCACATCTTTCTACATCATACCATATAATCTCATAATACAACACCAAACCTATTTATAATCAATAAAAGAACCTAAACCCAAATAAAAGCAAACAAACGAAAATGGCTTTTCTAATATATTGATCCACAACTTGGCTCAAAATGACTCGACCATATTTATTCCGGATCAAGATTATGACAGTCCATGTCAGTTAGATATGGAAAATAAGGGGCCCACAAATTTATTAGTTACAGGGAAATACCTCTCCCACGAATTCATATATTTTAAGGAAAAATTGCCCATTGATTGCTCTCTTGGCATCAAATGGCAACCCCAACTCGAACAATTGATAAGGTAACTATGACTGATTTTTTCTGTTTGTTATTTAATTATTTATTTACTTTTTATTTCAAGTATTTGTGTATAAATAGCCATTGAAAAGATTAAAAATTCAAGCTTTTCTAGCCTTTTTTTAATGAGTAAACTAAATCCCACATCAAAAGGTGAGGGAAGGATATTAGAAGAGTAAGCCATAACACACAGGCCATCTTTTATTGTAATGGATAAATTTACTTTAGGAATTCAACAACTAAGTATATTTATTATGGAGCACTTGTGATAGGTGACATTCATATGAGCTGACTAAGCTGACAAATCAATGAGGCCAATAGACAAAATGGGCAATTTTTCAATGGTGGTTGGTGCAATTAGCATCAGAGGAATACAATAACTAAAAAATCAGAATTAAAGCAATACATGATAAGATGCCACGTCATAAGTTTCATCTATTAGAGCTATACTGAGATAATGTGCTACATGTTAGGAGTTACTTTTTGAACTTGTCGGAGTCACTCGCTGGAATCTTCTTTGCTTGGGGAATGATTTAGACATGTAAAATTCATGAAGGTATTTGAGTGAGAGAGACTATGTAACCCTGTGACTAGAATAAGCTAAACTCTTTAAAATCAAGTCATTTTTGTATGTAACGGTTGGAATTTCATCAGGAATTACAAAGCTAAATGTGCTCTTGAGCAATGTTTAGATTGGTAAGCTTTTAAAATGTTACACCACAGGGAAAAGAATTAAAACGGACAATATCTCGATGGCTAATAGTTTGGACTATTGTATGTGAGAAGCTTGAAGCCCATCAACATGAAATTTTAATATTTTTCTCCCTTTAGGCTTCAAATGATTAATTTTAGGTGGGTATTGTAGAAGCATTCCATATGGGTGGCATCGAGTGGCTACTTGTTCTGACAGTAATGGTTGTGATGATGATGATGATTATTATTATTATTATTATTATTATGATGGTTGAAATTCCTCATGCAATTTCTACATATTTTTCTTAGTTGCATGATTTTTATCTCTTGCAGCTAGAAAATTGGTTTGCCCATGTCCTTCCGTGTAATCTTTGCATATAATTTTTACTAGTAAATACCAAGAATTTTTTTCATCATATAATCCTTGAATATGTACTAGCAAACGTAGCTTCTTTTCTAGTATTTTTCCTTTCTCCCGGTTATTTCCTACGAGCTCGCTCCTTGTAGTTCAAGTTTATTTGCTAGATTTTCATCTACCTCAAATTCTCTTACGCTCCAACAGGGAAACTCTGAATATTTCTTAGGATTATCCATTTTACTGACTTTTTTTCCAGCAACCGTACCTGTAAATCTGAAAATGAAAGTTTGGGTGGTGTAATATTTTGCGGGGCACTGATAAGTTCTTCATTTTTGTTAAAGAAAATTCTCAATTTAGATTTCCAGAGCATTAAACTGATTGCTTAATTCTCTAGAATCCCCAAGCTAATTAAATTTGAATACCTGTTTTGTACCATTTTATGATAGTTTCTCACTTCTATCTGCAGCATCAGGGACGGATATAAAGATGTAGTCTGGAGTGATTCCGCAAAGATTCTGTCAAACAAATCATACCATTCAAGCTACACTGATTGGTCTCTCTTAAAAGACATTCTCCAAGTCGGTGATACTGTTCGCTCAAGGAAGCCAAAAGATTCTTGTCAACAAACAAACATGGCCATATCTGAAGGAACTGTAGTGGGATTGGAAACCAAAGATGATACTAATGGTTTTATTCTTGTCAGAGTCCATAGGTTCCATAATCCTCTTAGGGTTCATTCTTCCATGGTAGAGAGAGTGAGCCACGGATTTGCTGCCGGCGACTGGGTACGAATAAGCAACGAAGAAGACATGAAGCATTCTCCTATTGGTATACTGCATAAGATTGATCACAATGGGAGGGTAACTGTGGCTTTCGCTGGATTAGAAACACTTTGGGAAGGTAATCACACTGAGCTTCAAATGGCAGCATCCTACTGCATTGGTCAATTCATTAGAATAAAATCAAATGTATCAAATCCAATGTTTGATTGGCCTAAGAATAAAGGAGGCATATGGGCAACTGGAAGAATCATGCAAATTCTTCCAAATGGGTGCTTGGTGGTGAGATTTCCAGGCAGATTAAGCTTTGGAGATGCTCCCAACTACCTCGCAGATCCTTCGGAGGTTGAAGCGGTCTCGTTCACCAGCTGCTATGGTGTGGTGAAGAAGTACCAACACCTTGAGGATTATCATTGGTCTGTTAGGCCTTTAGTTGTTGCTTTGGGTTTGTTCGCTGCACTAAAGCTTGGAGTAATTGTCAGGAATGGAATGGTGAAGAAAGAAGTGAAAGCTTTGCATGGTGAATCACCAAAGAGGCAGCAAGAGAAGAAAGTTCAGCATGTTCAGAATGGAAGCAGTTCAGCTTGGTTTCCTTCTTCAGTTGCTAATGTGCTTTTTGGAGAGCCGGTTGCTCCTTCCAGGTAGTTTTTGATAATGTGGTGTGGATTCAGACTTAATATACATGTAAATAGGCCTGACTGGGTGTATATATGGATCAAAACATGAATCCGGAAACATTTTTTGTTGTTTTTTGTTGAAATATGTTTGGGGGGAAGTGAACTTATTTTGGTTATGATTATGGCTTCGTTTGAAGTAATGTAATTGTTCAGCAAATTTCTTTTAGAAGCCGCATTCTTCGAATCGTTGAATGCCAGTTACGATTTGAAACCGTGAAAATTTATCTTTCTTGCGAAAGAACTTTGGGAGATATTTATTCCTCGCTGCTTCACCAAACTAAAATTTTTTCAGGCGTCGGCATTCTCACCAATCAAATCGAGTTTCAACGCCTTCTCAAACGAAGCCTATATACTTGATGTGCTCTTTAAATCTTGAATCGCATCATATGCTTTCACTTATTTCTTTTTTGGCTAAGTAGATTCTCACAATTCTTCAGCACTCCATGATGTAATACATTTTACTCAATTCATTCGCTGAGCCATATTTTAATCAGGGCTTAATTAGGTTGAGACAGCTTATGATTTGTGTGAAATGTAAATCATTCCTGCAATATTAAAAATTGCATTGCCAATGTATTTGTAAAAATGTAAACAATGTGTTTCAAATGTTGCTGCAGTTTAATCTTTATTGCTTCCACTGCGTCAAGGTGTTGTATCATATTTCATTAAAAAAAACGATCCTATTTGGGATCATTTTCTGTTTTCTATTTTTATTTTTAATTTTTTTTTTCAATTTTTAGAAAATAATGATTATAGAGGTTCAAGAAAAAATAAAAAAATATTATGAATTAAAAGGTATGTTGTATTTGAATTGTAAAATAATGCTAAGGATGGATGATGGTGTTTTCTTTTGAATTTGTGATTCATCATTCAATTTCTATGGATGAGATTTCATTGCACATTAAAATCCAATGTTATTTCAACTTCTTCTAACTTTATTTAGTGTGAATTAATGATATTGATGGAGTCTTAATCTACATAAGAATGATTCACAACTAAGGTTTAAGAGAATATGTATTATGCTTATGAACCATAGTAATCACTTATGGAAAAGAAAAAAAAAGATAATTTTGAGATCTAATAATTGCATAAACATATAACATTAGATATTTTTTAAATTAGGATTTCTAACTATTGGCTAAAGATTATGTATACTTCTAATTGACAATGATTTTTAAATGAAATTCATCACATTAAATTTTAATTTTATAAATTGCATATTGAAAGAATTTTTTTGTTTTATTATTTAAAAAAAAATCTATAATTCATCTTTTTGATAAATTCTAATTTTGGATAAAAATTAGGGATATGAGTTAGTGTTTAAGCTTAATTTTGAAAAGTCATCATTTTTCTTTTAGACTTAATTGTATTATATTACTTGGTCGTCATGCACTTGTGTTTGTTCATGCAAAATCAAAATCTTAACCAAACCACCTTATTGATTTAAAATAATCTCTAATTAGGCTCTAGCTTACCCAATGTAGTCTTAATCCAATAACAAGTTCATGTTAGAACCAAAAGAACCCCACATCTATCTAAACACGATTAGGCTTCAGATTAACCCAAAATGAGCCTTAATGATACATACTCTTCATAACATCTTTCTTGACTTTTTTAAACCTATGGAGGTTTAATTAACTCTATTTGATCAAGTCAACTTCAACTGGCTTGTGGGGACCACCAATGTAACTTTCCCAACTTCCAAATTTTGACTCGTATTGTTTCCAACTTATTTTGAGACCATTAGGGCTCATTTCTAACCCAAATTTAGGCATTTAAGCCTTTGATCAACCTAAGTGGACTAAACGACACCCACTAAGGGCCCACTTGATCAAAATTAATCAAACTTCAATCTTGTTTGTCTCTAAATAAAATTAATGACCTTAAGATGAAGTTTGAACCCATTCACTGATCTAAAAGCTTGGTCAATCACATTAACCGAATGCACCTTAAAGGCTTAATAAGGGCATTTGGGTTAAATTCATAATTTTTTTAGGTGTAAGTTCTAATTGGTTTTATGTTTTCTTAGGAATATGTTAAACTCTCATTGATACCCTCAACTCAAATTCAAACCACATTCTACCCATTTGGGACCTTGGCTCATTTTGACTTATTTGGGCTAGATGGGGTCAAATCACCCAAAATATAATCTAAGTTCAAGTAAGATAGGGTAAAATTTATCCTGGTAACTCCTCATTAAATTCACTCTCAATTGCATCAAAATTTCTTTAATAGACTCATTTGGGCCAATTGAGGCAAATTGAACCAAATCCAACTCAAATTCAAATTAATTTAACTAAACAAATTTTAAGGTCTAATTGTATATGGTTAATACTAATTTACCACCATTAGACCCTCAATTGAGCCAACTTGGGTATGTTGAGGTTGATGCATCCTCCTTTCTAAAATATTCCTAGACTTTAAAATTTAGTCTTAAGAATTTCTTTAGTGGATTTTTCTGAAGACTAATTTATGGCTATAGCCTAGCCAAATCAAGAATTAAACCAATCAACCCCCATGGTTTATGATGAACTCAAGATAGTTCTTAAATTTTATAATTGAAGTTAAGTTGACTATAATTAGGCCATCAAAGATCAAGAAGCAAGCACCCTTATAGGATTCAATGTACATATAGTCCAAATTTAGGACCCTTGGACCCTATGAAGTTCTAGGAATAGCATTCCTCTTAGAAGCCTTTGAATCTCTCCTTGGCTCACCATTGAGCCAACTCTTTGGATTGACCTAGTTTGATTAAGTCAACTCATATTGAACTTATGAGACCCACTCACTTTAGGCCGCTTAATTTCAATTCAAGTAAAAGCCAATGAAATTTAACTCAACTTTGAATTCAATTTTATCAGTTTGAGCTTAGATTAAAAAAAATATTTCATCATCAATTTGACTAAGAAAAGAGAAAAGGAGAGATGTTAACTTTGCCCAACATGTCCTATTAAGGTATTTTTTTAGTCAGATTTCACCCATTTCAAAATTAACTCAAATTAAATTCTACTGAACTTAAACAAATGATATTTTAAACTAATAATTATTAAATTAACTCAAAATTGAAACCATTGGCACCTTAACTGACTAAGTGGTTTTCTAACTCAAAATGTGACCTATTGGTTTGTAATAGACAAATCCACTTATAACTAGAAAAAAAGGAAATTGAATCCAATTAAATTACTAATTGAATTAAATAAAGCCTTGAAATTTATTTCATTACCATCCTGAATCATAAGCTCGGTTTGGCCCAAACGCACCAAAACTTATAATTAACTTACACAAAGTTCAAACTAATGTCTTAAAATTATATTTAAACATCCCTTGAATTTAACCAACCCTTTCATGAGCTTTGTTGAATGGTTAGGTGCATTTCAAAAAGCATAGTTAAAAACTTCAAAGGGGAGACTTCACATGGGTTCAAGAAAAACTAAGAAAAAAAAAACCTCATTTAACTTAAATTTCTTGAATTACTTAAGGATCATCAAGTACATTGGTTTTATCTCATCAGTGTGATTGAACACCCTTCTTGAGGAAGTTAACCTAAAATTCTAATTGGCTTTCAAACTTTAAAATTAAATTCATTCATACACGCACTAGTTGCGTGCTTTTGAAATTTTTAAAACAAATTAGATAAAAAAAATATTAAATTATAATTTGGCGTTACATAACAGTCTTCAAAACAATCATTAATGTCTCCAAATTAGTTGGTATATGAAAAATTTATCACAATTTAGCAGAAATAGAATATAAGCATAATGGACTCTCGAGAAATTAAATTTTGACTTGCAAGCAATATGGAAAAAAAACTAGAGAAATGAGCGAAAAAGACTCTTTCAACTAAATAAAATGGATAAATTCAGGACAAGCTCCTACAAGAATGTCAAAATCAACAAAGAAAGAACCAAGTTTTGACATAATAGGAACCTTACAAAAAAGGATTTGTCACCCCGAAAAAAAAGTGTTTCTCTATAACTCAACAATGAATTTTTTCTATAGAAAAATAATGATCAAGATGGCAAGGACCTTTCATAGTCAAATGATTATACCCCTATAGTATAATCGAGATCTATAATGAAAACAGGGGATAGTTCAAAGTCAACGACCAGAGGCCTAAACTTTACTTCATAAAGGATATCAAGGACAATGTCACATAATTGCTACAACAATAGTCAAATGAAATAGTTGCATGAAAAAACTATGCCAAGCTGGGATATTAAACCAAGTTTTAGTTGATAAGCAAACCTAAAAATCCGCCCCTTTGTTAAATTCTTATAATTTTTTTAATAATAACCTACATAGTAGAACTAATTTCTTTATGCAAATAACACTACACAAGCCACAATAATAAGAAATAGACAGAAGAGGAGCTAACGAAAGAAATAAAAGGAAAAGTAGCTCGATAACTAGCTAAGAAGTTCCCTTCTATCTTCTTCCTCCCTTCTTTCTGAAATTGTGTTCTTCTTAGGATTAAAGATAATGCCTTATTCTAGTTAATATGTTGTTGAAGTGGTGGGGGGAATATTTGTACATTTTGTATTATTAGCTACATATTTGAGTTTGCTCGTGTCGTGTGATTTATTTTTTGTTATATCCTAGCACTTGCGTTTTATTTTTTATTTTTGTTATTATATTTATTTATGATTTATTTCTATTGAGTTATATCAAATGTATATGAACAAATTTTTAGAAGGAATTGATTGAATGTTTGCCACCGTACTAAGGTGAATACAATTGATAAATATTAAACTTTTGGTTAGGCATTATGTTAAAACATATGAATGATAGCTAATACAATAATCAATTAGGTAGTAGGGTAATCCTATGTACTTCGTATTATCCTTGAAATACTTGTTAAAAGAGCATGATAGTGGTACATTCCCTTTTTTATTTTATTGTGACTATTGTGAATGTAGTTATTAAAAATATGTTTTACTTTGGAAGAATACTTAAACAATTATGTTATACTAAAATAATCAATCCAATTCCAATAGTCGCATTGAAAATTTATTCTACGAGTCACATAAATGATTGGTAAAAAATAAAATGCACTTGAATAATGAATGAAACTATGAGTTGAGAACTTCGTGGATTAAAATGATTAAGAGAATCAAAGAGTTCTCTAAACAAAAAGTGAAAAGTTCACCCATCACATAAGCAAAGATAAGAGCTTGATCTTGGGAATAGAAAAAACTCAAAGCACTAAAAAAAAAAAAAAAAAAAAAAAAAAAAAAATAATGATGCCTGTAATAATGATGCCTACTATAAAATGAGTAGCAACATTAATAAACCTTCTAAGATACAAATGGAATACTGTGTAATAATGATGCCTACTATAAAATGAGTAACAACATTAATAAACCTTCTAAGATACAAATGGAATAACTTTGGGCGCAATTGGTCTAATTTAATTTAGGATTAATATGCCTCCTTATATGCATATGATAATGTTAGGCACATTTGGTCTAGTTTACTTTATGATTAATATCCCTCCTTATATGCATTGAATTAATGTT